TGTGGAGAGATGGGTGGGTGGCATTTGTTTGGAAGAGCTCTTGGGATCGGACACCCTGGTTCCACCCAGCGCATCCAGCGGGCCGAGGAGCCGTTTCATTGCCAGGGTCTCGTGCCCTAGCTTGCGGCCACAGGGCGGCCATGCAGCGCAGCGCTGTGGGGAAGGCTCCATCCGCCCCCGGACGGCTCCTCTGTCAGCGTTCACAAACAGAACCCACCCAAGCCCTTTGTCTGCTACTGGGCTTGTGTAGCACCAAACCCGCCTTCCAGGCCTGTCCTCCTCGGCCGTATCCTCTCATGGGGCAAGTGGGGGGGGGGATGTAAGCAGAAGCCTGAACGTGAGGGGCAGCTTCTCAGGGACTGGGGGGATTCTGGACAGACGGGGAGAGGGCACAGGCTGGGGCAGGCCCCGTGCTCAGAATCCACCGGCTGACCCTCCCGTTCTCCGGCACCAGATCAAATCCAACAAGGACACAAACAAAACCAAGGTTTTCTACAGCATCACGGGGCAGGGCGCAGACTCCCCCCCTGTGGGCGTCTTCATCATCGAAAGGGAGACGGGGTGGCTGAAGGTGACAGAGCCGCTGGACAGAGAGGACATCAGCCACTACACGGTGAGTCCCTGGGTGCCGTGGATGGAGCAGGGGCATGTTCTCAGGGGCTGATGGCCCCTGGAGCTTGGAGGTGGCTGGGAAGGGCCAGAGGCTCCAGTGAACTGGGTCTCACTGCATGTCTTGTACCGCACGGTCCAGAGGGCAGCTGCCCTCTCCTCCCCCTCATGGTCTCTTCCCTGGGGCCCGGCAGAGTAAAGCCAGAGAGGAGTTGCTGACCCCAGCTGGGCGCCGCCTCCTGCTCTGTGCCCGGCCCTGGTCACTTGGTCACGTCAGCACTTGGCCTTGAGGCCCGGTTCTTTCCCCGAGGTGCTGAGAGCTGTAGTGGGAGCTGAGGGGCCCCAGCACCGGTGAGAATCGGGCCTAGAGCGCGCTGACAGCCCAGCACCGGCTCGCTGCCTCAGCAGGGCCCTTCTGCTTGGAGACGCACGCAGCATGCGCCTCCCGTCTCCGAAAGCTTGGCTGGATTCTTCCTCACGGGCCCATGGGTCTCTGCTGGGCAGAGCAGGGCTAGCGGGTGGCTCCGTATCCATTACTGATGTCGGGGTTTGGCCCAGCAGGGAGGAGAAACCATAAATCCACACGGGTCGAGACAGCCCAGACTGGCCCCTCCCTGGGTAACAGGACCTCACTGTCCATGGGCCAGGCAGTGATTATCCTCCGAGTGTGGAAGGGAGCTGGATGGGCCCTTTGAAGGCTGCTGTCCGGACCCTGGGCACAGGCTGAGCTGGGCAGACCCCCAGGCTGGGTGTGTTCCGTGTGGACTCAGGACCCTAGTGGGAATGGTCAGCCAGCAGCTGGAGGTGGGGAATCGAAGGCAAGTCCCCTCTGGCTAAGCCAGCCAGGCTCGGGCTCCCGTTCTGCAGGGACGTGTGGAACACCGCGCACAAGCCAAGCATGGCCGCTGCTTTCGGAGCCATGGCTGGGTTTGGCGGGCGCTGCTGGCTGCTCGTGGCCAGGCGGCTGCAGGACTCGCAGGGTGGCTTGATGGTGCCTTACACCCTGTGCTGGCTTTGCAGCTCCTTTCCCACGCTGTGTCTGCGAATGGGGTGCGCATGGAGGACCCCATGGAGATCATCATCACCGTGAGCGACCAGAACGACCACAAACCCCAGTTCACCCAGAGCGTCTTCACAGGCTCCATAGACGAAGGAGCCAAGCCAGGTACGTGAGCAGAGCCCCCTGGTGGGGGCTGAGACACACCGGTCATGAGATGTGGCTTTGGAGGGTTCCCTCCAAGGAGAGAGAGAGAGACAGTGCTCATCCACACCTCATTCATTCAACAGGGCAATTGATTAAGAGTGGGGGGGAGAG